GCAAAGCACAAACATCCTTGTCGAAAGTACCACCTAGCTTACGAAACTACAAAAATACTGCTTTATGCTGTTTGGAAAAAAATTCAGTAAGAAGACGACGTTCATTTAACCGACACTGATTATCAAGGCATTCGACTGTGATAAGAAGAGCGTATGTATTTAAATGGAAGTTTCCTACTGAGCACTAATTTCGCCAGCTGTATTACCATTGTCGAGCAGTACTAGTGAAACAGAGGAAATATCCAGGAAAAATACATGAGTACCGAGGAAGGCCCAATTCATTAAAAGGTGGAAAGCACATTACAATTGCGTCTAAAGGGTTCAGTGAGTATGGAGAACTACATGCTATTCAGGCTAACCGATGAACTTAAGGACATCTAATTATGCATGCATGTTTCATTAAACGGTATTCCCAGCCATCCGTAATACAGCTAAATCCACAGGATTCCAATCATGTCAGGAATGTTGGTTGTGCAGTGACTGGAAACGATGCATTCTAACTGGTGACGTGTGAAGAGCCAATCAAGTACGTCGATGGATGGTCGTCGTAGGTTTTTTAGACTCTCCTATCTCGGAAGAAAGAGCCGTTATAGCGAAGTATATATTTTCAGTCATTTAGTAGGAAGGCAGGTAGACATGGATGAAGAGTCGATCAGAGTAGAATTCGTGGATGATTTCCACCAATAACATCCTTGGAGCAGTTTCGTCTAAGTGTCAGAAGGCGATCATCTTTTCCTTCTAAGAACGAGTTAAGATAATTTACGATGATTTTTAGCCTCTTATTTTCCACTTTAATGTCCAACATTAAGAAGAAACCTTTTGCATTTGTGGGTTGCCATGAACGCTTTTCGTGACACACTCAGGCAATCGCTTATCATACTCATACCATTTACTCATAGAGTCCTAAAATTACTCTTCATGAGTCCCTTTGAGTTCACCTTGTGGAAAATATGACCTTATCTGTAGAACATCCCTAATTCCAATTAGAATGCTGTCAGTGTCGTATTTGTAACAGACATGATTGAAGGAATTGATGTCCGTGGCTAAATTCGTGTTAGACATTGATGGGAATGCTGAAGCAACCTACTCCTTTGCTGTTGTATTTTCGAAGGACTTCTACTTTAGAAACAGCAATATGTGGCCCTTTCTCGTCTTAGCAATGCTAATGATGCTAAAGTCAAATTGCTTGGTGGTTCTCAACGCAGATTTAGATGCGAATGGTTGTAATGCGAATTGGCTTGTAGCAAGCAACCCACATAGATCCGGACACACCTTCCATATGTCGTAGGTGTACTTGCGTAAACACAACAATTACAAACAACAACACAACAAAAAGTGTTAATGAAGCGTTTGGCCTAGTAGATTGTATATCAGTATACCCTTCCAGGCTCTGAAGAAGGCGATACTGCCGAAACGTCAGCTAGCGTTGTATTGTATTGTGTTTTTATGGAAGTAAATGTATGCTGTTTAAAAACCTCGCGATTGCTGAACAAGAAAACGACACATTCATATTCCAATGCCGAGGTTAAGAGAAAGTCGATCCTGGGAACAACAATTATATGCCAAAACTGGCGTAGCAGAAATCGGGAGTCTATCACATTGATCCAGCTGCATCTTGAAAGTGCGTTGTAGTCTCTCGACAGGGGAGACTTGTGGAGGGAACCAAGAAATGAAGATTTCAGGTACAATATGTCACTGGTTCACTACTTACATGGATACTTGTATGCACAGTACCCAAGACCGGCTTTCTATTAAGCTCGGCAATGATTGATAATTCGGTGTTTTCTTCAATTAGCAGACACGAAGTTGGTATTGTAGAATTTATTAGGATACAATAGCTAGTGTTTCGGCGATTTCGCCTTCTTGAGAGCCTAGAAAAACCAAATTGACATTTGATCTACTCAGCCAAACACTTTCATAATCCCAGCAGATAAAACTTAACAAATAAATTTGTATTCGCATAAGAAACAGCTTCATTTAAACACCTACCGTTTATTAGTTGTAAGTATTTAAGTTAGTTGGTGGATAGCAGCCACACAGAGTAATACATGTTCCTGTGTCAGGTCATTGGATTAGCCTGAGGTATGGCGCCAGGTCACGCGTGATGACGAGACACTAGACCTTACGGTTCATCTTTGCATTCTTGGAATTGATCGAAAAGGCTTCAAGAGTTTTACGCGCCGATGTTTTCGATTCCTGCATGAGGACAGTGACTCCTACTTCAAAATCCTCTCCGTTGTGTTTCTGCGTCCTATAAGCATCTATGAATTCTAGCGCCTAGTGGAGNGCATAAGAAACAGCTTCATTTAAACACCTACCGTTTATTAGTTGTAAGTATTTAAGTTAGTTGGTGGATAGCAGCCACACAGAGTAATACATGTTCCTGTGTCAAGTCACTGAATCAGTCTGAGGTATGGCGCCAGGTCACGCGTGATGACGAGACACTAGACCTTACGGTTCATCTTTGCATTCTTGGAATTGATCGAAAAGGCTTCAAGAGTTTTACGCGCCGATGTTTTCGATTCCTGCATGAGGACAGTGACTCCTACTTCAAAATCCTCTCCGTTGTGTTTCTGCGTCCTATAAGCATCTATGAATTCTAGCGCCTAGTGGAGTGTTTGATTTTAATTAACGTCTACCTAAGAATAAGAAATAAAAACTAGGTGTTCTTTTACGTGGACACAGAGCTGTATGCACAAAATTTCAAAACCGACTTTCCTTTAACCTCGGTATTACTAATCATTATCTATTCTTTCTTTGCTTAAGGAGGTTCTTACCAAGGCTAAGGGAAGGTCGGTTTTGAAATATTGTCATTGCTATTTGCTAGCTAATAATAATATTGACTATAGGGGCATCCAGGTAGAGCTCGTGAAGTGCAATGCTTAGTGGTGTCCTGCAATATACTTCGGTTTAATCCCGTGCCCTAGGCTCACCAAGTCTCCCATCCCACCGGGCTTGGTAGCACCATATCTGTCTAAGAGAATAGCAACACTGATTCGATACTTCGGTAGAGCACCGCGAGTCTTAGCAGAGGCCAGATACGCATTCAATTACCTCTAACGATGCTTAGTGAAGTTGAATGCTTGGCGGACGCCTCAAAGATTGATTAATGCTGGCAGACTATCTCTATCCTTATCCTAATATACTTGATTCATGCAATATTTTTAGAGAGGAATTATCATACATATTGTAGACTTGGTAGATAAGAAAGGTTTGCTAGATGATTGAAAGTGCATTCGTTAACTGAGTCTAGACAAGATGTTGATCTGGTGAACGCATAATACCTTACATAATATCTTACAAAACTGTAGTTGCAGCGACCGCACTAATTTTTCTTTAAAAATGTTGCTAAAAATTTGGAAATTCAAATAATTTAACACTCCATGAGAACTGCAGGCGGATGGTCTCAACTTCAGCAATTTGGTGGACGCATAATACGCTGAGTGTTCCATTCATATGACAATGATGTGATCCATACTCAAGCTTAGGAAATTACACCGAAGTTGTGGAGCCAGATGATTGTTAACCGAAAAGTCAGTATTTCAGTACTGCCAATATGAGCATTTTATAATCTGATAAAGACGAGATGTCAACACCGACTTGCCAAGGGCATCTAAACGCAGTGGACAACGTCATGTTAAAATCTGGTCCTGCTTCCCGACAAAATCTACTCGTGTGAGGTACACGAACTACTCTATATTATTGATACAACAACGCCTTCGTTCTCAGTAATATAGTCGAGATGGATTATTCTTTGGGCTCTGCTGTTCGTAGGTTTATTGTTGATCGGACTCCCTAATGAAATGTTGAACTGCTTTCAGCTTCGGTAACATTGCTTGGAGATGGACAAAGATTGATATTGGCGGTTTAGCATCCAAGAACGCTCGGACCACGTTAAGGCAGTAACCCTTAGGAAAGATTATTGTATTTATTTGCATTAGTTTTTCTCACTGTTTGGTTTTCGTCCTTCGAAAAAAGCATCTCTTTGCTTATAAACTCAGCTAGGAGTAAACCTAAGTTATGATTCGGTGCTATCACGGAATAAACACACTGGCAATCAGGAAACGGGCTTCAGTTATATTTCTCATTTCTTTATTATCAATATAAACGTGAATAAGAAATTAACAGTGTGTAGTCCACCTCCCAACGGCTTACCGCTTCATCGTGGCTGGGAGGTGTTCCCAGGTGTCCGGCTGCGATGTACAGTGGTGAGATTCGTCCCCTCGGCAAGGTTTTCCAAGCTGGGGAGTCCGGCTTTTCTATCAGGAAGCCTAGCTAAGAGTAAACCAATGCCAGGATCCATCACCGTCGTAGTATGAAACTAGTCGCATAGTGGTAAATCTCCCTCTGATCCACAAATGCTGCGACTGCCTGTGGCGGTGAAGACCTGAGCCAGACTGTGCTCGGGATTCCTGGAAACCTCAATAGATCAACCAGCAAATCTCCGAAAAATGAAGATTGTACTGCGGCCCGCACAACCAATGAGGACGGGCTGTTCAAGTATCCAGTAAGTAAGTCCGCTTTACTGCTTCTAACTTCTCATTTTACGCTTTTTGTATGTTCTTATTGAACGATCACTTGAAATAAACATGCGCATGTTTTAAAAAAAATTAGTGCCTAAAAGCTGCTCAAAGGGTTCTAGCAAACAATTTTCCTTCATCGATGAATTTGGAGCTTCCGTAAGTAAACTAGCTTAGTTTTAAAGAATTATAATGATCTCTTACATTGTTCTCAGACTAGTACGTCATACAGAAATTTAATTGTGCCACTGTGATTGCGATGGTATGAACAGCGCAATTGAGGGCAATTTCTGCTATGGAAGGAGCGCCAATGCAGTAGGTCTGACTGAGCGAATGATTGGACTCGGAGAGGTTGCGATTCTGCTCATAACCCTCTTCTGTTTCACTTATAAGCTTCACTCAATTTTTCTCGCCATTTCACTACTCGCTTTACTTTGCGGATTTCTACTAGGGTAAGTTATGGACGTTAAGTCATAATCATTAATTATTCGCCGCATTAGGTACCTGATCCCTATGTTTTGCTGATAATAACGGAGGTGATGAACACGGAGAAGCATAGGGTGCCAAGGATTGTGGAGCCGTGCCAATCCAAGCCTCCTCGTTCCCTGAAGAAATGCATTCATTTACATTTGAGTGACATACAATTTAGATGTTTAGAAATTATTTGTCGCTTAATCGAATATGAAAAAAGCTGCATGGAAGCATGATTTCCGTTGTCAGAGAGCAAGAACTACAACCTATTTGGATAGACCGTCTTACATAATTTTCGACTCCCAGCTAGCACATTCATTTGCTTAGTTCTCCTGCAACCTTCATAAACGTAGATGGTCGTGTATGTATGTAGACTTTTTCGGTTTTCAGTCGGTGCTCCACTAATTCGCCGGTATTCTGGAAGAATTGTACTCACTATTAAGCAAACATATGCACATCGTGCAGCGCCTGCTTGTAATGAAGACGTGGGAAGATCCTGGAACGGATTTCTTGAGAATCCAATGGAGTCATCTACTCAAATGGCAAAATAACTGCGTAATAGACGTGGATACTTACCTGATACTTGATACTTGAATGGCTGTCCTCACTGGTTCTGCGGGCTACAGCATAAATTCCATTTTTTCGGAGATTTGCTGGTTAAGCCATTGTGGTTCTCTGTAATCTTGAGGTCAGCCTAGCCAAAGTCTCCCCCGGTCTCCACTACCACATGCAGTATATCGATTTCGGATATCGACTTCACTTCAACTTCGACATGACCATTTTTCGCATTTTTTCATTGCTAAGCAAGCATCAGGTCAATAAGAAACTTTATTCGGCGCATTCGCCTTCCTCAGAGCCGGATTGATCCGAGTCGAATGTCCACAGCTACTCCTTCAACCAATGTGAGTTTTCGCGATCACATGGAGTCGAATCCAGTGAACCACCACTCCAATCAAATATCCTCACATGGAGTGATTTTTTCCACAGAACGGGTGTTACTACTGAATGTCCGTTGACAAGCATTTGTGTTTCTGCGGACAATCCATTCTGCAGCAGACGGTGTCATTACCAGTTAGCGCAGAGCGTAACAATATTTCGAAAGTCGACTTTTCTTTAATAGCTTACGAACTGTCCTTATTTAATCCCGCGCTAGGTTAGTATCTCTTCCATTTAAAATACGACGGCTGACGTCTCGACGATTTAGTCTTTCTCTGAGCCTAGAAATGCTATACCATACCACATCTTACTATACAGTTAAGCATTCCTAATCCCAGTAAAAATCGAATTCAAAAACAAATACGGAAGTCTCCCGATGCCCATCTTTCGACTTTTTAGATGGTGTAGCAACAAACGTGTTTTTTTCACAAAGCACGTGTAGGGCAGTGGTCGGAGGCGCCCTGAAGTAGACACTGGATCCATTCCTTCGTCCAAGGCCCACCAAACCTTCCATTTCTCCAGAATCGGCAAATTGGTACCAAACTTTTCTGAGAGCATACAAGCACTGGCTCAATACATCGGTGGGCCACCGCGAATCATTGCAAAGGGCAGATATGCGTTAAGTCACCTCCAACGATGCTTGAGGAAGTCGAATGCACGGCGCATCCCTCAGAGATTGACCAACGCTAGGAGCTTTTCCTTATGAGCGAAGAACCCTACACTACCACCTGAAAAACGTCATCATTTTGGCGTTGTGCCCTGTCTCTACCCACAGAAAAAGTTGGTCGAGTTTTTGACATGCCGTCAAGATGTTCCTTATGTGGACACAAGTTGTTCCACCTGTTTATCCAATATGTTCCCTACAGCATGTCCTTCGAGAGGTCGGTGATATTGTGTCTAAACTCATGCAGTTTTTAAACAGCATACATTTGCTTCCATAGAAAAACACAATACAATACAACACTGGCTGACGTTTCAGCAGTAACGCCTTCTTCAGAGCCTGGAATGCTATACTGATATGCAATCTACTAGGCCAAACGCTTCAATAACACTTACAAAAAGGCGAAAAACTCTATGGTAATTACATGATCAACAGCTTCTCGAAAAACTCACCGCTTTTTACGTGACTTCCAATGAGGAAGTTTAGAACAGCTGATTATAGCCGCATATGGTTGATGACTCCACCATCCCACATCAGAAATTGATGCGAACATACGGCGTCAGGTCACGTATGACCTGTGGGCATTCATCCCTACTATTCATTGCAGGGTTTTTGGCATTTATCCAAAAAGCCTCAAGAAGTTTTCGCGCTGGTGTTTTAGTCTCCTGTGCAAGGATATTGACTTTTACTTCAAAATCGTTTCCGCTATGCTTTTGTATCCTATGCGTGCCTAGTGGGGTGCTTCGTCTTAGTTTTCGTTTGCCATCTAGGTGTTCTTTTATACGGATACACAAAGGTCTGCCCGTTTCGCCAATATATTCATCTCCGCAATTGTTACACGAGATCAGGTATATCGTACCTGAACTCATGCAATCACCGTCCCTGCCGTAAGGGCAAATTACGCAATTTATTGTTCCACACAGACGGTCATACAGGTGGTTGCGAACTAATTGGCGAGAAGAGTAGTCGGTGGTATTTCAACTATCGCTACCGATTCCTCTAGACCTGCCCTTCTTAAGCATCGTTTTATAGCTGCGCTTACTTCATCGCTTATAAAAGGCAACATAAACGGGATTTTGTTTTGGCCAAGTGTTTCGCGTGGGCGCGTCGTTCTCCTTCTAAACTTATCTCGTGGGGTTACTATTTCGTAGCTATTGGAGATGGCTATTTGCCGGGCCAACTCGCGCGATTCTTCCTTTAGTTCCCTACGTACGGGATCAGGTCGCGTATGACCTTTGGGCATTCGTCCCTGCTATTCATTGTAGGGTTCTTGGCATTGATCCAAAAAGCCTCAAGAAGCTTTCGCGTTGGTGTTTTAGTCTTCTGTGAAAGGATATTGACTTTTACTTCAAAATCGTCTTCGCAATGCTTTTGTATCCTATGCGTGCCTAGTGGGGTGCTTCGTCTTAGTTTTCGTTTGCCATCTAGGTGTTCTTTTATACGGATACACAAGGGTCTACCTGTTTCGCCAATATTTTCATCTCAGCAATTATTACAAGAGATCAGGTATATCGTACCTGAGCTCATGCAATCACCGTCCCTCGTCTTTTCTGTCTTTTTGTAAGTGTTATTGAAGCGTTTGGCCTAGTAGATTGCATATCAGCATACCCTTCCAGGCTCTGAAGAAGGCGATACTGCTGAAACGTCAGCTAGCGTTGTATTGTATTGCGTTTCTCTATGGAAGTAAATGCATGTTGTTTAAAAACCTCGCGATTACTGAACAAGAAAACGACGCATTCTTATTCCAATGGCGAGGTTAAACTTACCAAATAAATTTGTATTCGCATAAGAAACAGCTTCATTTAAACACCTACCGTTTATTTGTTGTAAGTATTTAAGTTAGTTGGTAGGTAGCAACTGCACAGAGTATATATGGGCGATAACTGTGTCTTCGTCAGATCATTGGATTAGCCTAAGGTATGGCGTCAGGTCAAGCGTGAGCAACCACTTGGCTGTAACGAATGATTGCCATGTTCAGATGATCTGTGAAGTAGAACCTATTTAAGTTTAGACTCGCTTACTCTTTTATTGCAAAGTCTACCGTTATATCCGCTAGGACAAATGCATTTAGAGCAGTTTCTGGGATGTGGAAACCCGCCATTTTCACAAACAGCCGAGGACGTTCCATTGAATTTTTCTGGAAAAATTAAGTGTCATGTGAAAGTGGTTAAATAAAAGACGAAAGAATAAAGAAGTTTTCTTACCGAGGCATTCGTGATGCATGTTTACCATGAGCTTATCGTAGAATGAAAGCATGCGAGACCCAAGGGTTTGAATATACTTGACATCATGTGGTACTACGATGAGTTTGCCGTTCTTTAAAACACTGCACTTAAGGTGCTTGACATTCTATTATGGTATGAAGCTAAGACATAGAAAACTTGACGCACGGTTACCTCGTTGGTGCGTTATGCATAACACTTCCATGATCATAAGTGAGGGTATAGTTGTAGTCACTATTTTCACTTTGTTTTATGAATTGAGACAGCCAGCCATCCTAAAATCATATGTTAAAAATTCATAACTATCTATGTTTTCAAATCTACCCAAAAATTTTTTGCATAAAGTGTAATAAAACCTTTTGACCGTGTCTTGACTGCGTATGGAAATGTCCCAAAGCATGTCCAATCTCGTGTACAGCGGTTCCAACCTGCGCAAAATAGGAATGACATGTCGTATGAATAAGAAACAAACGAATACTTTGCTACTTATACCGATTCGCATCCGGGGCCTAGTGAAAGACTTTGTTCACCTCCAAGTCTTCCAACGTATGACCAGCAACCACCACCTTTGATAACGTTAATTCTATCGGTAGCTGAAAGTTTATTCCTCAAGTAATTATTATACTTTAAAGCGTTTAGAGATTTCCAATCTCTGATTTTTTCTCTCACCTGTTTGGCTCTCTCCGAAGTTAATGCATGTAGAATAAGTCCATATTCCTGCTGCCTTTTTGAAAACCACCCTTGCGTCGTAGGCTGAATTTATATTATTGGACTTTGAAGCAATGGTCGCGGAAATGCAATAGTTATAAAAGCAGACATGCGTTCCAGAAGGCGTAAATCAATCCTTGTGACCACAACGTTTTGGGATAGTTTTTATCACGGAAGGCCTGTCGTTTGTTGCGTTTGCCCTTGTTCGCTTTGATGTCTTGCAAAATCTCCTCAGTTTGTTCCCTAAAAAGAAAAGTGGTGTAAAAAAGGATAATGGTCAACAAAACGAAGCTATATGAAATAATGCACTTGGTGAGTATCATATCTCCTTGGAACAATGCCGTGTCCACTTTGCTGTTTTGATTGATTTCTTCAATTGAATCACTTGATTGAATTGGTTGAATGTGATCCATCTTATTTTTGAAGACAGTCTGAAATTCTGTTCCATTTTCCACTACCAATCGAGCGAGACATAATATGTTCACCTCCATCATATTTAAAGAATCGGTAGAACGCTGTAGGGACGGTGTGAGTTCGTCCTTAATTTCTTTCTCCATATTGTGGTTCATAAACCATAAACAAGAGCAGTTCGTGAAATATTAAAGAAAAGTAGGCTTTTAAAATACTGCTGCGCTGCCACCTGATAGTGATTGTGACTGCTGCAGGATGGATTGCCTGGATAAGAACAAATGATTATCAATGAACAATCATTATCAACAGAATCGTCCCGTATAAGAAAGAACTGTAAGCTGATGTTTCGAGCGGTGCTTCACTATATTCGACTCGATGCGTTCACCAAGGCTCACATCAGAAGAAGAAAAGCTGTGAACAATCGATCCGGATCAATCTGGCTCTGAAAAGGGCAAAAACCGCAAACCTTTAAGCGAAACGGGTTCCATTTATCAACCTCTTACTGGCTTATCATTGGAAAACACACATTTATAAGTGCTCTAACCTTTCGTATATCCTGCTAGTTTTCTTTCTATCTAATTCTTAAATTTCAGGTATCTATCGCATGAGAAACGTTATTGGTCGAGACAAGGTGTTCCTGGTCCGAAGCCTAACCTTTTCACTGGGAATGCTAAGGATTACGGGAAAGGACTGCATACGTTAGATGAGAAATGGATAACGGAATTTGGTAGAACATATGGGTAAGTGAACACTACTTATCTACTTGGAAGAGTTATGCAAGTACACTATTGTGATTGATCAGCTAGTTTGGTGGCTCCTTGATAGTGAACTTCGACTGTGCTGAACACAAAGCCGCCGTTGTTAGGATGCATTTAACAAACCAATTCGTGCTAGTGCTCTTGAGTGAGGTGTACTTTCTGTTTGCAACAACCAACCTTTTTATTCCTAGTCTCCCTACTTCTCTCCCTTTCTCTCCATCCTTCTCCATCGCTCTCCATCTCTTTCCGTTTCTCTCTCTCTCCTTTTCGGACCACTTTTTCTTCTGTTCTGCTCCTAAATCTTTTTCGCCTTATGGAGATACACCACACATCCTATCTAAGCTAAAAGGGAAACCATGTTTTAAAGAATTTTTGACGACTGTGTTAACCTTTTATTTTAGGGCTACTGTAATTTTTCACGGCATGGTATATATATGTATATATATATGTATATATATATACATATATATATA